CAGCCTTGCCAAGTCCCTCCCAACACTTCTCCAGGCCTGAAAACCTCCGTCCAGGGCTTCCCTACCCTGCCACACTTTCGACGAGCTTTACGAGCCCATTTTCGGGGCCCGGAAAACAACAAAAAACGTAGGACACATCAGAGTACCCCCACAGTAGCGCGGCGGCACTTGGTGGAGGTGGCGGCGGATCTTCGCGACGGCCACGTGCTCCTGAGCCATGACGTAGTCGTGGAGGGGACGCAGCGTGTAGTTGCTGTAGAGCTCCGTCGCGTAGATGTGGTCCCAGTGCACCTTGCCGGCGGCGTCCGTGAAGGTTTGGCGCCACTGGCAGCCCTGGCCGTCCAGCTCGTGGTTCGAGGTGCGCATGGAGTAGACCAGCTCCTGGTTGCGGGCCCACAACCGATGAGCGCGTTGACCAGAGCTTGGCCATGTGCTCTTCGCCCTCCGGCCAGGCGTCTTCCATGGTTTGCAGTGCCTGCGCCAGGCGGGGCTCCACGTGCGCCGTGGCGTCCAGGGACCACTTGAAGTCGGCCCAGGTCGCCAGCCCTGTGTCCAGCAGGTACGCCGCCGCGGAGCAGGGCCTGTCGGTCGTCTCTAAACAGGTCGAGATCCGCCAAATACCCGTTCCTTGAGTGCTCTATGGAGTCGAGGGGGCTGAAGACTGGCAAAGGGAAGGCGGCGTTGGCCAGGGCGTTCAGGGTCGCACTTCGCCAGCTTGCAGACCAGCGCCGGCGGGCGCGGGCTCTGCACGTAGGTCTCGTGGACGCTGCGGCACACCCGGCTCTCCAGGCACGATGTGCGGGACGACTCCAGAAGAAGGGTTTTGGTCCGGTGGCACTCCAGGTATAGGGCCTGCAGCACCTGGGGCTGGCCGTCCAGGGCTTGGTGCACGGGGACGACGTGGTCGAACTCGCAGGAGCCAAGCTCGATGGGAGCGGAGCAGAGCTTGCACTGTGTTTTTGCAGGATCCGGTCCCGGCTGCCCCGCGGAGGAGGTGCTGGAAGGCCTCCGTTGCGGCGCCGGCCAGGCGCTGTCCGCGGTACGGCAGGCCCAGCTTCTGCATCCAGGCCTGGAGAACCTCGGCGTCCTCGGGGTATTGCGTGACGACGCAGTCGGGGCTGTCCTTGACGCGGAGCCGCAGAGCCCGCCAGTCGCACAAGGAGCGCATGGTCACCTTTGGCTGGTGGCCCTGGGCCAGGAGCGCGGCGCGAACCTGGAGGAGGTCCTCGGCCCAGAAGTGGCCCGACGCGATGCAGCCGGCCCAGGGGCGCCACTCGGAGAAGGGCGGCACCGTGGACGCCTTCCGGTCGCCGCGGTAGAGGCCCTCGTTGCGCGGGACGTCGTCGCAGTGGGAGACCGCCCGGGCCGACTTGTAGAAGTAGGCGTGCGCCTGGTAGCACGTGAAGGCCACGGCCTTGTTCTCCTTGACCGGAGGCTGGTAAGCGTCCAGGAGCTCGCCGCGGCAGCTCACGAAGAACATGGGAGCGCCGCGCCAGGCGCAGAACTCCCGGATTTCCAGGGCGGTGCTGCCCCGCTGCTCCCAGCCCTTGTCGCAGATGGCGTCGAAGTCGGAGAGGACCTCGGGCAGAGGGAGCTGCAGGAGCTCGGCCAGCTGCCTCGCCACGCAGAGCTTGTCGTTCCTGGTCTCGAAGGCGCTGGGCAGGATCTCGGAGTGGTTGTAAAGCTGGTAGCTGATATCGTGGTAGGCGCCCATGGGCTGCCGCAGGGCGACCTGCACCTGCGCCCTGTTGTCGACCACCTCCAATGTTTGCTTGGAGAAGGCCCAGTCCCGCATGGCGTCGTAGCGGTACACCTGGGAGAGCTCCAGGATGGGGTCCCCGTCGTTGGGGCCTCCCAGCTGCCTCGGGCGGCCTCCTTGACGCGGGCGTGGGCCTGTCGCTGAGCCCGCTGGACTGCCTGGAGAGCGAACCGTTGACCACGGTGATGGGGAGGAAGTCGTCGCGCTGGTAGGGCCGGCCGGCGTTGCGGCCCCTTTGACGGGTCCCAGTGATGCGGACGGGGACGTGGGCGAGCCAGTCCGTGTACTTGTCGCGGAAGAAGGCCTTGCCCAGCTTGGTGAGGTGGTAGTTGCCGTCGGGCTGCAGGGAGCGCACCGCCTTCTTGACCCCCGAGCGGAGGAGGATGTAGTCCGTGGGCCCCTCGCGGATGAGGGGCTGCTCCTCGTGGAACTGTCGCGAGGGGGGGCGGCCTCCCACGAGGCCGTAGTAGAATTGGCCCGCCCTGGTGAGCTCGCCGTTGGGGCGGGACAGTAGGACCTCGCGGAGCCGGTTGTTCGCGAGGGGGAGCCGCTGCGAGCCCTGGGCGTTCGTCCTCGCTCTGACGCCGCCCTGGGCCGCTCGGCCAATGGCTTCTCGCTGCTGTGCCCAACTGGACACGTCGGCGGTGTCGGCGGATGAACGAGGCCCGGAGGCCTAGACCAGCAGCTGCTTGACCTTGCCTTCGTCCTCGACGTCCTCCAGCTTGCTCCGGAGGGGTTGGCCGGTGAGCCGGTCGAGGCCGGCGCCGCGCGCCAGGTGGCGGTTGCAGCGGTAGCGGGCCGTCGTGCACCGGACGGCGAGGCGCAGAAGCGCCTGCTCCAGGGCGTGGCGACGCGCTTGGGCGGGAGACATCCTCTCCACGGTGATCTGCAGGGCCCGGAGCTCGTGCTGCGGCAAGCGGCAGCCCTCGGCGAGCTTCTCAAAACAGAGCTCGAGGAAGTTCTGGTGGAGCATGTGGTGGAACACCACCGTGCGCGCAAACAGGGGACCGTAGCGGAGCAGCCGGCAGGACCCCAACAGCGCGAGCGCGTCCCGCGCCAGCGGCATGAATTCGTGGTTGTACGCGAGCGCCTCGAACATGCGCTCGGCCATGCGGCGGCGCTGGCAGAACTGGTCGTCGCGCTCGGCGACCGGCACGAGGAAGTCCACGACCGTCCCCAGCACCCCGTCGGGCAGGGCCTCGAACCCCCCCGCGGCGCGCAGGCGCTTCGACGGCGCGAGCTCCTCGAAGAACGCGTTGCGCTTCATCCTATAACCCTAAAAGTCCCGAGAATGGCTGGTCTGCTTCTCACAAAGCTGCACTGCCGGACGCTGGGTCTCTTTTTCAACGGCGGCCGGCAAGATGCTGGGCGAATGAACGAGGCCTGCCGCCGGTGGCGGTGCCATCATTAGCCAGACTTGGCGAATTGTGGGACCGGCCCGTGATGAAAGAATGGGTTGATTGTGAGTCTTGGAAGCAAGGTCGGGATTCCGACCTTGGTATTTGGGGTCGAAAAGCTGCAGAAAAACGGGCAGCGTTTCGTTCCCCGCACGCCCCGACAGATGCTGCAAGAAAACGGGCAGCATTCCGTTCCCCGGCAGCCTGCCTCGGAGGGGGACTGAGAGGGTATCCCGCCCAGGCGCATTTCCTGGAGGAGTCCTCAGGGGTCCCGGCGAACCTGACAACCGCCGGTGGTTAGCCCTAAAACAGTCGGGCAACCCCCTCGTCTCCGCTGGACCGCCGTGCCGCTTCGCGGAGCCTACCGCCCGAAGGTCGGTCATCGGCACCGAGTCCCGGCTCAGTGTGCCCCACTAAGGTAGAGTAGGGTAGACGCGACGACACGACGACGATGCTCGTACAGTTGTAGGCTCCGTGTGCAGTTAGGCTCCGTGTACATAGGCTCTGTGTGCAGTTAGGCTCCGTGTACGGCTAGGCTCCTTGTACAGTTGGCTCAAGCCCCGCGGGGCTCCGTGGCATGCTTCGAAAAACCCTTAACCCCCCCGCTCTATAGCCCTTAAACCCAATAAAAAATTCCTTCGCATGCATTTGGCTTTGTTTTACAAGAGGACCGTGGGTCCTTAAAGTGACCGGCCTGGTTTTTCAGATGTTGGCTATTTTGCGTGATGTTTTTGCCTCTGCGCCGCGCCTCGAGGAGCAGTGCAGGGTAGGAGTGTCCGGGCGGGTCGGCTTTCGTGCTGGGGCTGCGGGAGCGTGGGTCCTCGCCTTGGACGGACGCTTTCAGCGCAAGGTTGAGTAGGGTTTCCGGTTGTTTTGCTTTTCTGGAAGCTGAGCGAAAAGCCTGTAAATCTATAGGCCGGCCCTAACCCTTCTCTTCAGGTCGGACCGTCTTCGCTGGCGTGCCGTGCCTGACAGGGTTTCTTTGGTTTTGGAAGGGGTTGGGTTTGTGAGTCTCTGCGAGTGTCTGTCTGCAAGAGTACCCTGCGCTGTCCCTTGCCCCGCCCTCCCTGTAACCTAGAGTGTTGTGCGCCTCCCTCCTCTCCCGGAAACCCCGGGCCCTTTCTCGCGGCCCAGGTTTATCTTCGACTTCGTCTTCGCTGCCACCTTCGATCAGAGGCAGGGTTTAGGGCTGGTTTAGGGTTTAGGGGTGTCTTTCTGTGCGGCTGCGTGCTTCAAGAGTTCCCCCGCCCTCTCTTACTTGTTTTGCCAGGCCTTCGTCTTCGCCGAAAAGCCGAGGGCGGAGGCCCAGAGCGAGAGCGCGGGAGCAGTGGTTCAGTAGTGCTGGATGGTTTCTTGGCTCGGTCCAGGAGCGAGTGCTCTGAGCTCCCCCCACAAAGCTAGGCTCGAAGGTCTTCATCGACATTCCTCGCCGGTCTTCGTGCCAGGGACTCTGAGTGCACAGACGCCTTCACTCCCCCGTTTGGTGCCTTAACTCTTGCTTGCGTGCCTTCACTCCCCTTTTTGGTGCCTTCACTCCCCTTTTGGTGCCTTCACTCCCCTTTTTGGTGCCTTCACTCCGCCTTTTGGTGCCTTCACCCCGTTTTTTTGTGGCAACAAGCCGATGAGGCAGGTCGTGCAGGTCGTGCAGTTGGCGGCTGGCTTGGCTCACGGGTGGCCTTTTGGACGAGCCAGCATGCTGTTGGCAGGTGCGGGCTATGGTCCAGCCTCCGACAAGTGGATGAGGCCTGTTGTGCCACTGTTGTTGCGCGGGTTTGCATTGCAACTTGCTGGTGGAGAGAACCTCGTTGCCACCGTGCGGCGCAGTGCTTTGGTTCTAATTCGCAATGTTGTCAGAGAAGCGTCCCGCCGCTGAGCCGACGGAGGACCGTCAATGCGAGTTTCTTGGAAGTTTGGCTGCCGGAAGCTTTTTTGTTGTGCAGGAGCGAGGACCAAAAGCTGCTAGATTTGAAGATGAGGCGCGATTTGAGATCGGCTCGTAGCTCAGACGTGCTCCACTTTGTTTTTGTGATCCGGCCTGGCAGGTTAATACTGCAAAGCGGCAGCTGCATCTCGCGCTGAAGCAGCAGGGGCTCGCTCAAGACCAATGGAAGAAAGCCGTGGAAGCCGGAGACCAAGCGAAGCTGAATGTAGTTCAGTAGTGCTGGCATGGTCTTATGGCCTCGGTCCAGGTGTGCAAGTTGATGAGTTGGCCGCTGGCTTGGCTGCCGTTTTGGTCAAGGCGGGCTTTCATTTGTCATGCACAAGTCTTGTGAACATGAGCGCGACAGCATGCTGCTGGCAGGTGCGGGTTATGGTCCAGCCTCCGACAAGTGAACGAGGCCTGTTGTGCAGCCGTTGTTCACACGGGTTTGCATTGCAACTTCTTGCTGGTGGAACCTCCGTTGCCACCGTGTGGCGCAGTGCTTTGGTTCAAATTCTGGAGAGATTCGCAATGCCGCCAGAGAAGCGCCCCGCCGCTCCATCGGCGGAGGACCGCGTCAAAGGGAGTTTCCTGGAGCTTCAGTTGCTGGAAGCCTTGTCTTCTGCAGGAGCCGTCGCCAAAAGTTGTTAAAGAGGCGCGGTCGGGTATGCTGTGCAAGATTTCAGATCGGATCGTAGCTGAGACCTGCCGTGCGGGCTGCAGGAGTTTGCCTACGCTGAAAGATTACGGGAAACCGCTCTGAAGGGGTTGGAATCCGCTCAGAAGCTGCTTGCGATGGCCGTGGCTGACTTGGAGACAGCCCGCGAAGAGAAAAATCAGGAGAAGGTCGAGGCGGCAGAGAAGAAGGTCGAGGCGGCAGAGAAGAAGGTCGAGGCGGCCAAGAAGGAGGTCGCGGCGGGTCCAGCCCAGGCCAGGTCAGCTTGCACTTGAGGGGTCTCCAGTCTCGACTCTGGTCGCGGTAGCATAACTTCTAGATTTGGTGTTGAGACCTTCGCTGCTTGAGGAATTGCCCCGACCGACTCCGGAGATGGATTTCGGCGATTTCGGGCTCCGCGAGCTTGGGGAGTTCAAGCCCGACGAGCTGCTCGACGTCGAGAAGTTCAAGGACTTCGTGGCGCCCAACACGACCGCTGACAGACCGCTCTTCCTGCGAAAGCATCTCCTCAACGTGCACAACAAGGCAGTGGAGGCTTTGCAGGCGGAGGAGATTCGCCTGGTGTCGCTGGTCGGCTGCCCCGGCACCGGCAAGACCTGGTGCGGGTGGCTGGTGGCCTACACCCTGCAGCAGAAGGGCAAGAAGACCCTGCACCTCACCATCAGGAACTCGACCGTGACGACCATCGCCAACTTCCAGGTGAAGAAGCAGTACGAGGAGGTGAGCTGGAACGGGCACATGCTAAAGCAGGTCCTGCGGGAGTCGAAGTGCCAGGTCTGCATCGTGGACGTGAGCATGAACGAAGCCGTTGAAGCGGGTCGCATCTTCACCGGCATCCAGCAGCTGATCGAGCGAGGGAAGGATGAGGAGTTCGCTGGCGTGAAGTTCATGGGGCTGCTGTCCGGCCACGGCCAGGAGAAGATCACAGGCAAGCAGCTGAGTCTGCAGGTCATACAAAAGCTTGTGCTTTGGAGCTGGAGCGAAGAGGAGGTCACCGCTCTACGTACAAAGCTGAAAGATGCAGGTTCGGAGCCTCCATCTGACGAGGCTTACGCGGTGTGTGGAGGATCTGTGCGGTATCTCTTCCGACACGAAGAAGAGGCGAAACGAACTAGAGACGCCGTGAAAGGGCTCTCCCAAGATGAGATGAAGAGGTTGCTTGCCCTGGATATGCCCTTAGACGACCAGCAGGGGAAGAACCGCAGCAGACTTCTCTCGTTCTTTCCCAGCAGAGGTGCTTCCAATGCAGTCGATGAGTACTTCGCGGAGGGCGTCAGCGAGGCACGGCCGATGCCCCGCTCGGACTTCGTCATCAAGTGCATCAAGGAGAACGAGCACGCAGAGTTCGGGGAGGTGGCAAAAATGTACAGGAGACTCTCGGGCATTAATCCTGGTGCCGCCGGCAGCGCCGTTGAGATCCTGGTCCACCTGTTCTGGCGGGAGGCTGCCGCGAATAAGCAGAAGGTCGAGCTTTCACTTAAGGGCAAGGAGATCGCCAACGTGGAAGTGGATTGCGCAGAGTTCCCGCAAAGGCCTAACAGTATCGAAGAGTATGACAAGGAGGCCGTCGCAGTCCGCGACACCCTTGTGGGCTACTTCACGCCTGACAGCCCGCAATATCGTGTGCTCGACAGCATTCTCAGGTACAAGTCTGCCGGCAAGACCGAGGTGCTGGCCATCCAGATCAGCCTTGCGAAGCAGCACGGACATGCCAAGCTTGATAACATGCCGAGGTTGCTGCCGCCTCCGCCAACCAAGCCGCAGTTGGCCTTGTGGGACTTTCACAAGGGAGGGAAATCCTGCCAGTGGAATCCCAAAGAGTCTGATGACTGGGAGCTGCTGCATGTTAGCTGCCAGGCCTTTGACAAGCGGATGTGGTGCAGTTGAAAAGTTTCCGGGAACAGCGCAGTGTTCGAGCGAGGGTACTTTGTTTGCGGCTTGCTTTCTTGCTCCCGTCAATTCTGCAGGTCGTTCCACGGCGCCTGGGCCTCGCCCCAAGCATGCGCTGCTCCAGCAGTGTAAGTTGTTAGAGGCACCTCGTGAGCTGTTTGGCCTGCTCTGCCATGTATGTTTTTGGGAGGTCCTTGCCATGCGATTCGACCTTAAGGCATCGGAGGTTTCCTCTGGGACCTTCCATCTCGAGCCTCCAGATTCGCGCGCGTGCTTGATTGCAGGACATTGCTGATTGCTGCTGGCTGCGCTGCTACGGCTGCTGTTGCTGCTGGGCTCGGCGCTGTTGCTGCTTGGGTGGTGCTGCCGGCTGCTGCTGCTGGGGCTGTCTGCTGCTGGGGCTGCCTGCTGCAGGGCTGCTGCTGCTAGGGGCTTGCATCACGCTGTTGCGGCAAAAGCTGCGGCAGCGGTTTACGACAGGCTCCGTGGCGATTGGCCACGCCGGCGGTGGCGACGACGACCGACGACGACGATGCCGACCGACGACGACCCGACCACGACGGAAGCGGGGCTGCAGGGCTGGAATTGGGGAAGGTGACAAGGACGGTGAGAAACCAGCACGAAAATAAGGATATAGACGACGGCGACGACGGCGAGGATGCGACGATGCGGCGACGACGCGGCGGGGCGTCGCGCGGCGCTCGGACGATGGCGACGGTGACGACCACCCTGCATGACACCGACGACGGCGGCAGACTCGGACGGCGCGACGGCATCACGGCGGCGACGACGACGGCAACGCGGCGAGGAACGACGATGCGACGGCGATGATGATGACGACGACGACGACGACGACGCGGCGACGACGACGGCGATGCGGGGACGACGCTTCGACGACGACACGGCGAGGGCTGCCGCAGATGCCATGCATGCCGGACTGTTGGTGGGGCGCAGTGGGGGGTCCTAGGCCTCGATTCCAGCGACGGTGCGATGCCATGCAGGCGGAGCACGCGGGGCAGCGGAGCAGCGGGGCGAGCACGGCGAGGATGCGACGACGACGATGCGACGACGCAGCGACGACGGCGCGGCGGGCGAGGATAGCGGTGAGGATGAGGATAGCGGTGAGGATACCGGTGAGGATAGAAGCGAGGGCGGATGACGACGACGCGGCGGCGAGGAGGAGGGGAGGACACCGCCGGTGAGGGATGACGACGACGCGGCGGCGAGGAGGTGAGGATATCGGTGAGGACAGGGGGGAGGCTAGAAGCAAGGACGACGACGCGGCGGCGAGGAGGTGAGAATACCAGCGAGGACAGTGGTGAGGATAGAAGCGAGGACGGTTGACGACGACGCGGTGGCGAGGAGATGAGGATGCCAGCGAACACGGGCGACGACGACACGGTGGCAAGGAGGTGAGGATAGCGGCGAGGATCCCCAAACCCTCACAGTAGCTGCAGCGCGCCAGACCGTCACAGTCTCACTCCTATTCTGACCCAAGAAGTGAGTATAGCGGTGAGGACACCGGTGAGGATAGAGGTGGGGAGAGCGCACGACGACCGGCGGTGTGAGCCGGGCGGTGAGGATAGAGGTGAGGATGCCGGTGAGGATAGAGGCGGGGGAGGGACGACGACGACGCAGCGACGACCGCCGCTGGTGGTGTGAGCCGGGCGGTGAGGATAGAGGTGAGGATACCGCTGAGGATAGGGGTGAGGATACCGTGAGGATAGGGGTGAGGATACCGGTGAGGGCAGAGGCGGGGGGGGGGCGATGACGACGAGGCGACGACCGGGGGTGGCAACATTTGCGTGGCAACATTTGCGTGGCAACATTTGGCGGCGCGGGTTGGGTTGACAATCGGGCACGACCGCAACTCGCGGCGACGAGCGACGAGCTGCGACGACGACGCGGGCGACGACGACGGCTCGACGACGACGGCTCGACGACGACGGCGGCGATGACGCGGCGACGACGACGCGGCGACGACGAGCCACAGCGACGACGAGGCGCAGCGACGACGAGGCGCAGACGCGGCGACGACGACGCAACGACGAAGAGGCTGGTGAGGACCGCGGGTGGTGAGGACCGCGGGTTAGAGGGGCGGCGACGGCGACGACGAGGCCACAAAGAGTAGCCACAAAGAGTAGCCACACAGAGCAGCCACACAGAGTAGCCACAGAGTAGCCACACAGAGTAGCCACAAAGCCAGTAGCCACACAGAGTAGCCACACAGAGTAGCCACACAAAGTAGCCAGAGTAGCCACACAGAGTAGCCACACGGAGTAGCCACACGGAGTCGCAACACAGAGTAGCCACACAGAGTAGCCACACGGAGTAGCCACACAGAGTAGCCACACGGAGTAGCCACACGGAGTCGCAACACAGAGTAGCCACACAGAGTAGCCACACGGAGTAGCCACACAGAGTAGCCACACGGAGTAGCCACACGGAGTCGCAACACAGAGTAGCCACACAGAGTAGCCACACGGAGTAGCCACACAGAGTAGCCACACGGAGTAGCCACACGGAGTCGCAACACAGAGTAGCCACACAGAGTAGCCACATAGAGTGTCACATTGCCTCGAAACTCGCTTTGGATGTCGGCCTCTCTCTTATGCGGGTGTCCTCCCGCTCGACCAGAGATCGTCTACTAGGGAGCTGATTCAAAAACGAAAGGGTGTTGAGCGTACGGCTTCGGACCAAAAACGAAAGATCGACAGGGCTCAGGGCCGTAGGACGCAACGATCTTCGGCCCTTTAGCCCCAAAATTTAGGACGAGCTAATCGGAGCTCGACGATTGTGGACCCGAGCGGAGCGAACGGAGCGAAGCGGAACGGACAGAGCGAGCGGAGCAAACGAAGCGGAGCGAAGCGAACGAGGGAGCGGAGCGGACGAGTGAGCGGAGCAGAGCGGAGTGCGCGGAGAGAGCGAGGGGAGTGTAGCGGACGGAGCTGAAGCAGAGCGAGCGGAGCAAACGAAGCGGAGCGAAACGAACGAGGGAGCGGAGCGGAGCGGAGCGGACGAGTGAGTGGAGCGAAGCGAAGTGCGCGGAGAGAGCGGCGCGAAGCGAAGTCAGCGGAGTGAGAGTAGCGAGAGAGTCCACAATCGTCGAGCTCCGATTGCGAGGAAAAGTTTGGGGCTAAAGGGCCGAAGATCGTTGCGTCCTACGGCCCTGAGCCCTGTCGATCTTTCGTTTTTGGTCCGAAGCCGTACGCTCAACACCCTTTCGTTTTTGAATCAGCTCCCTAGTAGACGATCTCTGGTCGAGCGGGAGGACACCCGCATAAGAGAGAGCCAAGAAAGCCAGCGGCTCGCCGGTAATCCGCTACGATAGTATTTCGCAGCTGTCTTAGTCCTCGCTCAGTCTCAATGGCCACGTGAGCGTCAGGTTTAGAGACTTTAGCACCGGCAGCAGCGCTGCCAACCAGCGGATCTCGTTTGCGTGAGGAGTCCTCGCACTTGGGTGTTCTTCATCAGAATCTTCAACGGTGACTACATGTTTCGCAATCAGTGCATCCAAGAGAGGCATAGGTGTGTCCTCATCACTTGGATCAGCAGCAGTGCTTTCAGCATTGGGAGCATCAAGTGCTGAGGCAGTAGCATCGAGCTGGCGTTCAACAAGCGCACCAAGACCAGAGGCAGAAAGGGAAAGAGTGGAAGATGCCTTTGGGAGCGCGAAAGAAGAAGCAGCATTAATGTACGCCTGTTGGACTCTACGATTCACGGCGGTGGCGGCAAGCACAACAACGGTTGTGACCGACGCTTGGCTCCCCGCCTCTTCTTGCCATTGTGCAAAAGATATAGAGTCCTTGGCGTAGGAGTTGCACTCCGCTGGCAGCTGATCCCAATAGACAAGTCTCAGCCCACTAAGATTGTCATAGGAATAAGCCAGCCCCCGGTCCGCAAATTCAAGTGTGCAATAATGCTCACGTTTGGGAGAATGGACAACTAGAGCTTGAACACGAAACTTACCTCTACCAAGATCATCAAGGATGAGCTCATGCCCCAAAAGGTTGTAAGCTGCATCTTTATACGAGGAGCTGTGTGACTCGATCACGAAGGCAAAGGAACGTGGGTAATGAAGGCCATCCGGTTTTAACTGCATATGGCAGACGTCACAAAAGCTTTGGCAGACGCTGGTCATAACAATTCGATTGACGGACGCTTTGGCGGCTGCATCAAAGTTAACAAGGATGTCGTCGTGTGCACCTAAGTCAGTCAAAAGGACGGTGTAGCACACATGTTTAGCTGAACGGAGGGCAGCAGCTGCTTTCATGCGATTAGCACAGGCGCACACAGACTTAAGTTTCAAAGCCAAATTGGTTTTGGATACACTCTGAAGAAAGGGGAGTGCGTTGTCAATCGTATCGTTAACCGAGTGCAATCGTGCCGGGTCTTTCGGATGGTACGAGAAGAGCGCATCAATGAAGCCTTCTCGGAGATCAGGAGTCCAGTCACGGGTGACGAGACCAGCCCCAACTGCGATAAATGCCTTTTGAATACTGCTGGGTGCATTGGTTAGCTCTTCTTTAGAAAGCCGGTTTAATGCCATGACACGAAAGGCACACGTCAGATGGCATACGATGGAGTCGAGTCGTGCATCAACTTGATGTCTGATGGCAGCTTTAAAGCCTTGGCCTTGACCCCGGAGCGTGGGCTATGACTGTAGGCCCAAACAACACAATCTCCAGAATCTTTGGATCCTGACGAAACCCTTCCGGAACCTTCATTGTGGACCCATTGCAAGGCCAATGGCGAACAGCTTCTTTGGGTGCCTTGGAGAAGTGTTTGTGTTCGGGTGTTGTTACTCTCGAGGGCTTGGGGTGTCAATGCTCGAAGGTGTTTACAGGTTCTCATAGGGCTCGGCCTTATGCGGTTTTTTCAGGATCTTTCAAGAGGTCTACAACGGTTGTGCTGGAGTGTGGTCTTCTTCCCTGTGGATGGAAGGTGGTTGAGGATTCCGGGTTGCGGAGTCTAGGGTTAGGGGCATTAACCTTTGT